TTCTGGGGAGAGAGAGAGAGACACGCTGAGGAAAGCCCGAGTGGGACAGAATGGAGGCTCTGAAATGGCTGCTGCACCGGTCCAGCCAAGCTGGTCTTTTCCCAGCACACAGTCTCATATGGAAAACCTTCTCAGTGTTATCTCCTCTCAGTTTCTATTCCTTTAACCAGCCCATGTGCCCCCCACCCTAGGCACCCGAAGCCTTGTGTCAATGGAAAAATCCTTGCAGGTGCCCAACAGATGAATGAAAAGTAATCAGATAAAGGCAGGAAAACCTGCACATCACCAGCTGACCAGTCTCAGATGGACAGTTTGCCTGTGTTCTGTGCACGGGCCTGACTATGACTTTACCGCACATGCTCGTAATATTGCCTTGTTTCCTGCTATAATATTTCTTCTTGATTCCCAAGATAGAAGTCACTATATCAGATGATCCTGGTGTCTTATTAAGGGCTCCGTGGCTTCTGGGGGTTCTGTAGCTGGAACATCCTTGGGAGTCTGTTTTGGAAACTGAAGGCTCCCAAGCTGGTGGGGAAGGGTATGGCAGAGGCATGTTTGGAGGACAAAGTCCTGGCCTTGCCATATCCTGGCTGTGTGATCTTAGAAGAGTTTCTTTACCTCTCTGGGCCTCAGTTAATTTCCATATAAAACAGGAATGATACCATCTACCTTGGAGGGCTCCTAGTAGGATTAAAGGAGATGACTGTAAAATTTCCTGGTACCCAGTAGCTGCTTACTAAGTGCAGCTCTATGATCACTTCTTTAAGCAGCTGTCCCTTGTGTATTTCTGAGCACCTATAGCCAGGCCAAGTCCTGTGCTAGATATGGGTAACAAAGAGGTGAATTAGACCTGGAACTCCTCATAATCAGGCCTGGCAGCTATGAAGTGCAATCAAAAGACTGGGGGATTATTTCACTGGCAACGAGCATCACGAGGTCAGGGATGCTACCTAACTCAGCCATCCCTGCTGGCCAACGGGGACATGTCATCACAGCTGCTCCTTTCCGGTGGACAAGAACTCACGGCCATACTGACCCAATTTGGTATGTGCTTGGTGACTTCTGGTTGCTCCCCCCAAGTAGAATAAAACACACAAGGAAAGCAACGTGACACCTCCAAAGCCATCTGATCTGTCACCACTGCCCACTTGAAGGCCATCTCCCAAAAGGGGCTTTGGCAAGTGGCGGGGTATGGAACAAATGTGCGCATGTGGGAGGGGGCACTCTAAAGGGGATCGCTTGCATGCTGTTAAACACCATCTGTTTATTCCCTCAGTGGTGGAATTTTCTGGAACAACACAAAGTGGAGGTCTGAGCAAGGTTCTCTGGGTTTCCAAAGAGAGGAGCCTGGTGAAGAATTCCGGAAGGAGGATGCCTCCTCTGCTCAGGCTGGGGATGAACAGGTCCTTTGCAGACCATTTGAGCCTGGAGGGGCAGCCCCGAATAAGCCAGGTCTCTGTTACTTAGAATGCTTCAGGCAGGCCCTGCCTGCCTCTCCCCTCCACACCCGCTCTCCCGCCCCGGACGCACCCACCCCTCATTCCCGCCCACCCACAGCTGCCCCCACACAGCCGCCGCATGACGACATCCTGGCTTAAGCCCCCTCTTCAACAGCCCCTCTGAGGCGCTATTTGCAGAGGCCCCCCTTTGGGGGCTTGGGGGCTTTGCACACAAGTGTCTGATTTTATAAAGAGAGAAAGAGAAGGCACAGCAGGTGCCCCCACTTCCCTCTCAGCCCCACCCAGCCCGGCCAGGGCTGCCGGGGGTCTGTGCCTGTGTGTCTGCCTGTGAGCGTCATCTGCATCTGCCGCCTGGTGACAGGGGCCTTTGAAGCTCCACAATGACGCCATCTGCCAGGGACAGCCGGCGGGCTCGCGCAGGACTGACCCCACGGTTGCCATGGCAACCAAGATGGCAGCACAGGCCTGCAGAAAACCTAACAGCCTGACCATGTCAGGAGGTACCCTGCAGAATGGTCCCCGTTCAGGTGGAGGTGGGCAGGGCAGGGGTGGAGGAGCGCCTCTGTGTGATGCAGGACAGGTCTGTGCCTTGGGGACCTAGGGGACCTCCAGCTCTCAGAAGTCCTTTCCCATCAAAAGAAGCCACAAGGCCTTCATAAGACACGCTGTGTGCACACACTATTCCCTTTGCTGAGACTCTCTCTGCTTTGCTCACCAGCCTAGAAAACGCCTCTTCACCCTGCGAGACCCATCCCGGGGTGTCCTTTTCTGAACTCTCCAAACAGAGGAGTGTCTTTGTCACTGGGGTGCCTCGTGCACGTCAGAGCCCCGGCCGACCCCAACTGCAGCTCTGCACGCTCAGCCATCTCCCGGACCTGCTACGAAGCAAGCTGAGGTCAGAGACTGTGTCTGGTTCACTACCCCTGCTGCCCAGCACAGGGCCTGGCACATGGTAAGGTCTAGCAAATATTATTTAGCAAATAAATGAAGTCACTTCACTTCTCAGCCACTTGGCAGGAAATTTCAACACTCAGAGCCTCAGCTGTCAGGAATGCAGGAGCAAACAGAAAGCGGGCCAGAAGAGCCTCCTTGACCCCATGGTGAGGTGTGGGCACGCTCGTTTCTCCACCACTGTGGAGGCTGCAGACCCCAGGGCCTCTGAGATGCAGACCACATCTGCACAGAGGTGAACTTGTGTCCTCACTTCTGTCCTACTCTGGGTGTGCAGGAGGAGTACTGGCTGAGAATCAGTGTCATGACCTAACCACCCCCCACCAGGGGCCTTGGGTAGAATCACTTGCTCAAGTTCCCTAATTTGGAGCCAAATGGTTAGTGCATCCCCATCCAAAGTGGCTGAGCCCATTCACATCAGAGAATATACATGGGTCCTTCTGCTTCACATCCTCCCAGTCTTTACAGGGCAGGCCTATCCTTCTACCAGTCTGATAGGACATGGTTGGGTCTTGCTGTTTTGAATCTCATTCCTCTGGTTTCTAGTGAACCTCAGCATCTTTCTATTGTCAGTGTGGTCTCTTCTGTCAGCGGTCAAGTCCTCACCTATTTTCTTTTTGATGACTTAACTTTGTCTTATTGATCTGTAGGAATTTTATCTTTTTTGGCCACACCATGTAGCTTTCAGGATCCTAGTTCCCCAATCAGGGATTGAACCTGGGCCCACAGCTATGAATGAACTAAGTCCTAACCACTGGACCACCAGGGAATTCCGTGTAGGAATTTTTTGACATATAAATTCTGAAGCATACCTCTTTCCTGTGCTGTGCTTAGTAGCTCAGTCCTGTCCAACTCTTTGTGACCCCATGGACTGTAGTCTGCCAGGCTCCTCTGTCCATGGGGATTCTCCAGGCAAGAATATTGGGGTGGGTTGCCATGCCCTCCTCCAGGGGATCTTCCCAACTCAAAGATCAAACCCAAGTCTCCCCCATTGCAGGCGGATTTTTTACTGACTGAGCCACCAGGGAAACCCAAGAATACAGGAGTGGGTAGCCTATCCCTTCTCCAGGGGAACTTGCTGACCCAGGAGTGGATCTGGGGTCTCCTGCATGGTAGGCGGATTTTCTACCAACTGATGTACTCAGGAAGCCCCACATCTTTCTTGTATGTGGGGCAAATATCTTCTCCCAATCTGTGTCTGGTATTTTAGTTTTATGTTAAGTACCCTCGGCTGATGAGAAGTTTCAAATTTTTATGGAGTCAGAGAATAGCAAAAGGCTATTTTGAGGCTCATATAAGCACCAAACTTTTGACATCCTTTGTATCCACATGGCTTTTTATAACTGCAGAGCAGCCCCTTCATGATCTGCTTAGAGTCCCACCAGGCTGTGAGAGGTAGGGAGAGCGGGGACTGTTGTTCTTGTTTCATAGAGCAAGAGATGGAGAGCCCATAGCGGCCATCTGGCCTCTCGGCCTCTGAGCATCCAGTTCTGCCTCTTCTAGTAACTGGCCTCTGATTCTTCTCCTGCAGAACCCCACTCCATCGCAATCTTTGTCCTTGCAGTCTGGGTGGGGCTGGCCAACTGGAGCACACCATTCATTTTCCAGGCCACAAGGATGGCATGGGACCTGAGCCAGGCCAATGACAATGCTATTCTATCCAGTACTTGGGGTAGAATTACTGAGGAAGAGACACTTTCCACTGGTAAATTCTATTTGAAAATGAAACCAGTACCGAGGAGAGCAGGACGATGAGAGACCTTTTCAGTCACTTGTACCTCGATCTAACCATACTTGAAGCCCATGTATCATTCACGCCAGCATATTGTGGGGTCCTGTCTCTTTTGGATTAATAACAGAGTCCTAATACAGACCAAGTCAGAGCAGGAAATGAAAGAGCCAAGACTGGACACCTAACTCTCTTATTTTAAAATTCTCTCATTATTAAAAGTACAAAGAGGTAGAAAGGCAGCTTCCAATCTAAGAAGGAGGGAAAATCACCCCATCTCGTCCACCTCCACTGCCTCTGGGTTACTAAACTTCTCAAGGCCTCCTGGCTGGGGCAGGGCACTGTGACCCCGCTGTTCTGACCCCAAGGACACTTTGAATGGGAAGTCAGCATAGAACAGTTGACAGAAATAGTCAGTACCAAGAAAAGCTGACATCAGCTTGAAACTGCCCCACAGAAAACTGGACTTAGTGGAGACAATGACAAAAAAGAAAAAAGAGAAGAGGTGGAAGGAAAGAAAGAAAAAAAAAACCTGACAATATCAGCAGCTAGCATTGAAAACCATGAGTGAAATCTTCACTGTAAAACTTACATAGAAAAGGATAGGCTCTGCTAAGAACAATTTCCACCACAATGAAAAACACTGGAGTAAATCGGGAACAGGAACAGCTAAAGAGGGAACTGCTTAAGGGATGGAAACGAATGAGTGGCATTCCCCTCTGGAAAAGACTTTCTTGATGAAATGCCATTGATATTGATACACGTCTGTCAACATTTCTGAACACCCTTGTGTGGACAGGCTGAGCACCCTGCCCTGCGGGCTGCGTCCTGCTTCTCAGAGGCGGCGCCCGCCCACTCACCGTGGTGATGAACCGGTACAGAGGCTGCCGTCTCTCCGTGTACTTGACCGTGATGGGGCTGAGGTCGTAGCGGAACCAGATGGCCGGGATGATGCGGCCCGTGTGGCTGTAGGCGACGTACTCCTGGGGCGGAAGGGGAGAGAATGAGGGGGGTGCAACACTCAGACTCCAACCGTGTCTCACGGGGGATGTGGGAGTGGGCTGCAGAGGGGCCCCGGCAACCCACCCCTCCCCGCGGAGGGGCCCCGGCGGCCCGCCCCTCCCTGCAGAGCCAGGCTCCATGGATCCCTCCTCTCACACCCTTTCTCCCAAAGCTCTGCCATCAGCGTCCGGAGGGCCACCACTCGCTGGTGGCATTTGGGACCCCTTTGGCTGCTTGGAAATGGATGGTATGATCTTGGAAGCAGCACCAGAATCAAAATAGAGGAGTCTGAAAGCAGAGCTGTTGAAGGACCACTGTGATGTGGGTCCAGTCTGAGTGAAGGCCTACTTCCCCCTGCAGCTCCTGGGCCAGGCAGAATCCATCGGTTTATCCAGTGACTGTTCACCATGCATCCCTCCTGTGTGCTGGCCCCACGCTGGGTGCTGGGGACCTTAGGTGAGAACACCTTGCCCCCTCCCCAGGGGGGCCCACAGTCTGGAGAAGGAGGCAGATGTAACAATATCTGTCACACTGCAGTGCTACAAGTGCCGTGACTGAGGGAGTGCTGAGCGGCCGTCAATGAATGGCCGATCTCCCAGGGGCTTGGCGAGGAGGGGACAGGCTAAGCCACACATGACCTCCTGAGGATTGTATGTGAGAGAGAGATGTGGGGAGGGGGCTTCTTCAAAGAAGAAACACACCCAACTGGAAAGCCAGAGGGCAAAGCCCACCACCAGACTCCTGGAGAAGGCACCAGCTGGGACTCCGAGGATACCAAGGGGCTGAATTAACTGCATCCACTTCAGAATGCTGAGAACCTCGGATGACTCTCGTTCATCCACAGCAACTGGAAAAAAACTATAAAGCCCCAGCCCCAAAAGCTAAAGGCCAAGCTCTGCAGCTTCTCCAGGGACAACCTTGAAACCTGCCTTCTTTGCCACCAGTCCCCGTGGGTGCAGCCCCCCTCGCTCACAGGGCAGACGGGGCTGAGGCCGCAGAGAGAGCTGAACACGCAGTCCTGGCCCTTTGGGCCCTTGCCAAAGCCTCAGGGGAAGAAGCCTTGGGCAAAACAAGATCAGCTTTCTCCTAGGAGAGTTGATCAGGCAGGGTGACTGTCTGGGTCATGGCCCAGAGCTGAGGTACAGAGGAAAATAATAAAACAGAGCAGCAGTAGGTACCATTTGCCAAAGCCTTCTTTGCGGGCTCAGTGGTTTTAAAAGCACTGCCTCATTTGACAGTGGTCTTCTGAGCCATTTTACACATGAGTACACTGAGGCGCGCAATAGTTATGGGATTTGTCCCAGCTCACAGCCCGAGTGAGTGGCTGAGCTGGGTTTGAGCTGGAAGTTTGTGCCACAGCCCACACTCTCTCTGCTCAGATTGCATCCGCCTTGCCCATCTGTTAGATGCTGTCAGCACTTGAGGGTTCCAGTGAGATGCCCGCCAAGAAACAGGATGCCTCCGCCCCAGAGAGTTACACCAGCACATCAGTGCAGGTGGAGCCAAGCAGAGGGACCCCAAGCCACCCAAGAAAGAGTAGCTACCAGCCTGGCAGACTCAGAGGCCCCCTGTTCAGACTGAGCTAGGTGATGTGATTGAGAGGTCAGGTTCTGGAGCTGGAGAAGTTGGTTCTAATTCCCATTCATCCACTTTATAGCTCCAGGACCTCCTCTCAGGGCCTCAGTGGCCAAATCTGCAAAATGGGGACAATAACAGGCCCAACATCAGAGCTGTTGCGATGACTGAAAAAGACGGTGGAGTAGAAAGCTGAGCATAATGTCCAGCCCGTGGTCATTCTCCATAAATGATAGCTGCTACCCTTACTACTGGGGCGTCCCTGGTGGTCAGATAGTAAAGACTCCGCATGCACTGTGGGAGACCCGGGTTCAATCCCTGGGTCAGGAAGATCCTCTGGAGAAGGGAATGGCTACCCACTCCAGTATTCTTGCCTGGAGAATCCCATGGACAGAGAAGCCAGGTGGGTTACAGTCCATGGGGTCTCAAAGAGTCTGACATGACTGAGTGACTAATACTTTCACTCTTATTATTATTAGTGCCAAACACTATATTACTTTAAGGGGTTTGGGCGGTCCTGGAACAGGAGAAAAAAAAAAAGGAGGGACCTTGTGTAAAGGGGTCTTTGGGGATACTTCACCCAATGGGCTCCAAGCATGCATGTCCCATGGCAGGGTCACCTCCGGGGAAGCTGAGGCTGCCTTGGCTTGAAACCACTGTCAGTGACTCTTCTGAGGGCTCTGACTGACCTCTGCTTCTCCCAAGGCCCGCCCACCTCCCCATGACACTGGGTGTTGGGGTCCTGGGACATACCCGTTAACCAACGGCCATCTGGTGCAATTCAAGAGCCTCACGATTTTGGATAAAGACCTTGTGCCCCACGAGCCAGAGTATCTGCTGTGTGCTAACCATCAGGGTCCCATGTCTGAAGGACCAGAGCCAGACATACGGCTGTGATGCTTGATCACATAGGTCTGTGATCCTAGACCTTTGGGAGAGGCTACCTGCCTACCCTTTCTCAACCAGATCACTCCCTATCTCCCAGTTAGATTTCCTCCCCCTGACTCTGAGATTTGTCTCCCTTCTTTGCCCAGGGCACATGACCCCTTCCGGAAAGGCCCCTTGAGAGGAATCAGAGGAAATGACGCCGGGACACGTGTCACCTCTGCTTTCGGCCAGCAGAGGGCGCAGTTACCTTGTTGGCCACCGTGTACTGGTAGGAGTACTGCTGCTTGCCACTCTTGTCTTCGTAAACTGTGGGCACGATCTTCAAGATGTAGTCGTGGGAGGCGAGGGCTGTGGGAAGGACACAGCAGCGTGAGGCAGGGTGATGGGTCATGCCCGGCCAGCAGGTCTTCTTACATCATCTCAACCCTAAACCCGCCTGGTACTGTACTGAGATGGGGTAGGGGGCAGGAGAAGGGGTGAGGGGGGACTGCACGATTTCACCACCAAACCACCCCTGCTCATTTCTCCCTCTGGGCACCAGGAGTGGAAAGACTCCACCTGTCAGGATCTTCGCCCCTGCACTGGACATAGGTAGTGGCCTCTGGAACAATGTCCACCAAAGGCCAGCTGCTGAGGAGGGGGTGCCGGGAAAGGCCACTCTCCAGGGGGTTACTGTTGAGTGAGAAGACTCCAAGGGAGGACGGGGACGCAAAAAGAACAGGAGGACTCACCCCTCTACACGCGTGGACACACAGAAGAGTCTTCTGAGAAGATACCCAAGAAACTACAAGCACTTTTACTTTTACCCTTGGGGCAGGGGAGGCAGGATTTTATAAAAATCACATTTCACTGCACATGTTCTTGTCTGGTTTGAATACTTGTTACTTTTGAAACGAAATGGGTTCAAGATTTTAAAAAAGAAAAAGCCCAACCAGAAGAATGGCATTTACAGATTACTGATTAATTTCTTTCCCTATTTTCAATTAACGAGAGATGAGTTCTTCCTCCATCTGGCCCTGTGTCCTGTTCCACAGAGACTCTTACGCCATCCCCACTGGACGAGCGAGGCTGTGGAGGGCAGGGACTGAGCCTTGCTCATCTCGGTGTCCCTAGAACCCTGCGCAGGGCCTGGTACAAAGTGGACAGTGGCAAATGCCTACTGAATGAATGAGCGGATGTAAAGCTGGCTGGTCAGACCCATGAATGGGAGAAGAGATGAATCAGCTTCTGATAAGCATGAGGTAACCGGAATCAAACACTAGGCTGAGAGAATGCTGGCCCAAAGCTGCTAAATACCATCCGGGAAAAATGACATTCCTTGGGCCTTCTGGGCTGTGAGGAGAAGCTCAGAGACCCCGCTACTGCTGCCTTCTAGAACCTCGGGTCAGGGCCCATGCAGCTGGAACAATAGAGATTTAGGTTTGCGGGCTCTAATCCTGGTCTCCTGGCTAAGTCAGTCCAGAGTCCGCGGGCTCATCTTTTGTTAATGGGAAGGGGATGTGGATGGTGTTCACAGCCTCTTCCTGACAATACGGCATCTTAGTAAGGAAACGGTAGTGCTTCTTTAACTGTCTTGAGACCTGACTCCTCCAAAATTATGGGAAAAGCCCTGTAGTCTCAGGCTAAGCCCATGAAGACCCCAACATCCCTCTGCTCAACCCCGCTGGTGCTGAGACTGGCCGGAGCACTGCCCGGAATTTAAAAGCAGACGCCTGGGCCTCACCCCTGAAGGTTCTGCTCACTGGGGCTGGGGTAGGGCTCAGGATTTGCATTTTAAACCAGGAGCCCCAAGACCACCCCTGAAACACCATGCTCCAAATCCCTGTCGTCCCTGAAAACACCTGATGGGATGAGAGTAAAAAATGCCCCATGAAAATCACAGCAGTAACAGTTCTATTCAGTCTGTACAAAACACAGGTGACCGTAAAGGAAAAAAGTAAAAATCACCCACAAAGCCAGCCTGCCCAGAAAATCATAAGATTCGTACTCTCACGTACAAACTACCAGACTTCTATTTATACCTATGTTTGTGTTTCCCTAAACATAAATATAAAATTGGATCATACAGAACCTTCTTCTGAGAACTGAACACTGCTGACACTGTTACAGGTCTAAGACACAGCATAAGGTCACAGCCTTGGTTCCCTCCATCGCCATATCCCCTCGAGCAGTGCCTGCCACGTAGAAGGGGCTCAATGACCTCTTGCTGCCCGAACACCAGTGAGGTTCTGACACATCACCGTCATGGCTGCACGCGTCTCCCAGAAAAGACCACGTACGATGTGCTCAACCAGGCCCCAGGGGCCAGGCACCAATGCAGTGGCTCATTTTCACTCTTATAAACAATGACCTAATGACCATTACTTTCCTAAATCCTTGCATACTCTCCTTTCCTTAGCTTACTCTCCTATGAGTAGAACTGATGACTCAGTGACAGTGACCAGTTTTAAGGTCTTTGGTATAGTTTGCCAAATGTCCACTGGAGACACTGCACTTGATGACACCCGCATGGGCTCCTGGTCAGAGGACCCCTCCTCGGGACAGCCAGCTCCAAGCTGATCCAGGCATGCCCCATGCCCTGGCGGCCCCCCTCCCTCCCCCTAAACATCTCAAGTAAAAATCCAACCACAAATCATGGGGAACCGTAGGAGGAACCTCCAGGTACCCGCCTGTCTCCCAGCTTCAGCCATGAACACACATGTCCAATTCTGCTTCATCTCTATCCCACTGCTCCTCTTCCCCCATTTTATTTGGAAGCAAATCCCAGACCTCACATCAGTTCCTCCATGTATACTTTCATGATGTCACTCTAAAAGATAGAGACACTTTCAAAGAAAGCCACCAGAATGCCACCATCACAGCTAGATCATCAACAGAGTCCCTCTTCAGCGTCTTCGACACAGTGGTCTGTGCTCGGGACAAAGAGCCGTGTGTCACCAGGCGTGGTGGTTCCTGCCCAGAGGTGGTCAGAGAGGCTCTCTCTGAGGTGGTGGCATTTGAGCTGAGACCTGAACGATAACACGTGGCCCCCAGGGGGACGTGGAGCAGAATGGCACGTGGTGGGTGGCTGGGGACCGGGCTTGGAAAATGAGGAAACAAGAGCCTGGTGGACCCCACTGGTCCCTCCTCTGCTTTCATCAGCAGCCCAGGCGGAGGAAAGGCTTCCTGCCCACACCCGCCACAGGCTCGCATACCCTTCCTAGCCTGATCTTCCTCCAGTGTCAGGTGGCTGAGGGGTCCAGGCTAACTGCAAGTGGGGGAGGACAGGCCCCTTGGGGGCTGCCCCCACGCAGAACCACAATGATGACCCCACCATGTGAAGAAGCATCCCCCTCCATGATAATCAGACATCAGAAAATACAGGTATATACTGACATGCTGCTGGAGGTGGCACAAGTGGGCATGGACCCCGTCGGGCAGCAATACAGTAACGTAAAGCAAATCCCGTAAATATCAGAGGCATTACTGTGGTAGAAACAATAGACGTTTTCCATGAAAAGACAGTCCCTTAACAGAGCGTGGTGGAGCTGCTAGACGGCCAGCCGTGTCCCCATAACCAGTGGGGAAACTGTACACCAACTGTGGTTACGATATGACGACAGGCACAAATATCAGAAAGTAAGCTGTGATCTATGCTGGGAAAAAATGACTTCTGCTCACAGACAAGGATTCCCAGTGACATGGAGAAATGAGAAGCTTGATTTGTTGGGGCGGGTCATGGAGGGACGTTCTCTTTTGCTTGGATTATCCCAGTTCCATGCTTGGTTTGGCAGCGAGTATAGGCACACCTCATTTTATTGCTATGCTTTACTGTGCTTCAAAAATAGTGCCTGTTTTTTTTTAAAAAACAAATCTGAAGGTTTGTGGCAACCCTGTGTTGTCAGGTGATAGCAATATTTTTAAACTAAGGTATTTACATTATTTTTGAAGACATGATGCTACTGCACACTTAACAGACTGCAGTGTACTGTAAACGTAACTTTTTTTTCTTTAATGTAACTTTTCTCTGCACTGGAAAACCAAAAAATTCATGTGACCTGCTCTATTGCGATCTTCAGTTCATTGGATTAACTGGGAACCAAACTCACAGTGTCTCCGAGGTCTGCCTGTAAATGTACCTCCAGAAATAATTAAGAACACACGTGTGAAAAGGTGACTCAGGGGAGGAGATGAGAACCGGACCCAGTGGGCAGACCCGCGTAAGCAGACAGGCCTCCCAGGCCGTTCTGGGCAAGGCCCCGTGGGTGTGTACACACGCGTGTAGGTGTGTGTGCACACATCTGTTGGTGTGCAAAGACGCGGCACGCACTGTAATCTGGGCCCAGGTGCCGGGGAGCCTGGGAGGGAGGGGCTCTGGGAGGGCCGGAGCGGGAGGGCTGGGGTGGGTGGCCGCCTGGGAGGCCAGGCCGGTGCCCCGAAGGCCTGTTCCCACGGTGCCGCCTGCAGCCAGGACGCACTCTGGCTGTGTCAGCACTGCCTGGGGAACCCGGGTGATTATCTCAACCAATAACAATCATGTGGCAGCAATATATTACGAGATGGTGACAATAACGATGACGGCCAAGTATTCACAGAGCGCTGATGGTGTGTCTCGGGCTGCCAAGCCCTCCCCTGCCCTCTGCCAGCAGCCCCGACAAGCCCTTCTCCTCCCTTCTCAGTAAGATGGGGTAAGTCCGCGTCCTCACAGGCCGCCTGGGGGGACGAAGCCTGCGCGGTGCGGCTCACCCCAAGGGCTTGGTCAACGTTCCCCCCAGCCCCCATCCCTTCCCTGCCGCCCTGGGGAGCTCGGGCAGAAAGCTGTTCCCGGGGCGGGGGCGCGGTACATACGGTTGGAGGCGAGTCTGTCTGCTCCCCCGAGAGCGTTGAAAGCGCCATGGACGTTGTGGACCTGCAGAGAAGCAGAGTGACCCAGAGGACTGACCCCAGGACGCCGCCACCTCTAGGCTCGGGCCTGGGCTGGGGGAACAGCCAGGTGCCAGCTGCTCTAGAGACCTCGCCCGCGTGTAAAACGGGGGCCCAGCACGGCCTGTCTCGTAAAGCCCTGGGGCACGAGGCGCAGAGGAGGCACCAGCTTGCTTCCGAGCCCTCGCTGTGAGACGCCCAGCCCTGGCTCCTGAGCGTCGCTCATTTAATGCCTTCAAGGATGGACCACAGGCTCATTTCACAGCAGCAAGCCAAGGCTTGGAGAAGCACTGACATCTGTCCAGTGTCCTGCGGCTGATAAGCGGCTGAGTCCAGCTCAGGTCTGTCTGACTGGGGCAGGTCTGTCTGACCGGGGCTCAAGCATGCAGGCAGACGGGAAACTCAAGCGCAGGCAGAGGTGGGTCCCAGCACACTCCTCTTGAGACCCACCTCCCTCGGAGAGAGGCCCCGGGCGGCTGGCTCCCACCCGCCTGCGGTGGGACACAGACAGGAGTTGTGAAGAGACGCTTCCTCATGGCGGCTGGGCTGGCCGTGTGCCCGGGGCAGGGGCTGGAGGGTACCTCCCCCTCTCCTCCGAGGCCAGTGGGAAACCAGGTCAGCCCCCAGGAAGACTGAGAGCAGGACGAGGCGTGCCCAGTACACGGACTCTGTCATGGGCACGGTTAGCAGGGGTGGGTGGGGCAGGCCTCCTGGAGGGCGTCCTGGGGGAAGTGACACCAAGATTTGCAGGAAAGCGGGACGTTAACCAGGCAGGCAGCTCATGCAAACACATAAGCCTGGAGACGGAGAACCAGAGCTTGCCTGGGCATAGAGAGGAATGGATGAGGGGTGGAAAGGGAAGAGGTCATGGAGGGAGGAGGGGACAGGCTCCAAGAGTAAGGGCCACTCCAGGGACAGTGGGTGACCTGACTCCTGATCGTAGCCTCAGGCCACTCATGTCTATCAAGCAAGCACTTAGAACTGCACTCTCTCAACAAGGCCAAGGGAAAGTTTGTCCATTGTGCCTCGAGACTAACTAACAACATGGTTTCTAACCCAAGGACAATGGCTGTGGAGGCCAGAGTGCTAGAATGTTCCCTCACGTCGTCACGTGTCAGGGTTCTATCTGACATTCATTTGTATGATTATTTGATTAATTTCTGTCCCCCTCTCTAGACTGTTCAACACTCCACACAGGCAGGGACCAGGCTCCTCCTCACCAATGTGTGGAACACCCAGCACATAGTAGGGGGCTCAATAAATATTTGTTGAATGGATGCTGGATGATGAATGGGTAGATAAATCCTCAGTTAAGTATTTTACATTAAAAAAAAATCCTATCTCCACCATAAGAAGCAAGTAGAAGGCTATTAATGTCTTTCTGTCCCGCAGCAGCAGACGGCAATGCAAGGCTGCCCCTGCCCTCCCCGTCCCTCCTCTCTCCTCCTGTCCCCTCTCTCTCCTCCTGTCCCCTGTCCCTCCCCTCCCCCGTCCTGTCCCCTGTCCCTCCCCGCCCCCTCCTGTCCCCTGTCCCTCCCCTCTCCCCTCCTGTCCCTCCCCTCCCCCCTCCTGTCCCCTGTCCCTCCCCTCCCCCCTCCTGTCCCCTGTCCCTCCCCTCCCCCCTCCTGTCCCTCCCCTCTCCCCTCCTGTCCCTCCCCTCCCCCCTCCTGTCCCCTGTCCCTCCCCTCCCCCCTCCTGTCCCTCCCCTCTCCCCTCCTGTCCCTCCCCTCCCCCCTCCTGTCCCTCCCCTCCCCCCTCCTGTCCCCTGTCCCTCCCCTCCCCCCTCCTGTCCCCTGCCCCTCCCCTCCCCTGCCCCTCCCCTCCCCCCTCCTCTCCCCTGCCCCTCCCCTCTCCCCTGTCCCTCCCCTCCCCCCTCCTGTCCCCTGCCCCTCCCCTCCCCCCTCCTCTCCCCTGCCCCTCCCCTCTCCCCTGTCCCTCCCCTCCCTCCTCCTGTCCCCTGCCCCTCCCCTCCCCACTCCTGTCCCCTGTCCCTCCCCTCTCTCCTCTCCCCTGCCCTTGGCTGCAGCCCTTCCCTCACCTCCCCGCCTGCAGTCTCGCCTCCCCTTCCACAAGGCAGGGGGGTGCTCTTTCCATGATACCCAGCTACCCGGGTCAGACCCCACCTTCCTAAATCTAATATGGGTCTCTCGCCTTTCCTAAAACCCAGCTCCCTGCTCCCCGCTCCAGGTGACACTTCTGAACCCTCTCCACCGACTCTGATGAGCCTCTGGCAGCTCAGGTACAGAGGAACACCGTTCTGATGTCACGGGCACTTGCTGGTCCACTTTTTTTTTTTCCCTGAAATGACCTTGAGGGTCTTTTATATGATGATGACTGGTTGGATGTGCCATAGAGTGGGTGCTCTAGGAGAGGGGTGACATGCAAGATGTCCCCTGTCCTGAGCTTGGCCAAATCCTTCTCTCCCTTCAGTGCTTGGCTTAGATGTCATCTTGGATGTCACCTCCTCAGGGAAGCCCTCCCTGACTTTCCAAGCCGGGGAGTACCCTGCCCTCATCTCCACATCACTGCCCAGAATCCTATGCCTCTCTTGTCCCTTGTAATTACATTTATTTACACTTAGTCTCTTCTTGACTTGAGGGCAAGAATCCACTGCTGTTACCCCAAGGCCTCACGCAAAGCTTGGAGCAGAGCAGAAATTTTGGGGTCTGTTGAATCCATAACTCTCTGAGGCACAGTCAACGAAGACCTGGGGCCAGACACACCTAGTTTTCAAGCTGTATGCCCCTGGGCAGGTTACTGAAACTCTCTGAGCCCGTGTCCTCCTCAGGAAAAATAAACGTCACCCAGCATCCTTGTGGGGGTTTTCTGATGGTTCAACAAGGCTGCATCTGAACACTGGTCCCCAGTGAGAAAGCGCAGGCTGCAGTGCAGGCTGAGGGGTCAACAGCGCCCACGAGGAAGGACTATGGTCTGCTGCCAAGGTGGGGTTTGGACTCTGGGGTGCCTCCAGGGAGCCGCGTGACCCTGGGCCATGACTCCGGCCTCAGCCTCCCCATGTGCACATCAGGGCTCACAGTGCCCACCGTCCCCGCTGTCAGGATCTGCCGACCGGGTGGGCAGCTGGGATGCTGCCTGGTGCTCACAGATGGAGCGCCATGGGCCCTCCGCCTGCCTGGGGTTGGTCAGCTCCCGTCCCGCTGGGCGGTGAGCACCCCACGCCTGTCTCCCCCGCGGCCGTGGGAGCCGCTGTGGGCTGGCGGCATCTCACCCGGCAGGGCCTGGTGTGCAGTGAGGGCACCGCTCATTTCACTCTGAGCCAGGCTTCACTCAGAGTTCAGGAGCTTCACGTGCGTGAAGTTATTTTATCTTCACCACGATTCTATGAGCAAGATGCCATTGCTCTTCCCATTTTACGGACGAGATCACTGAGGCTTAGCAAGAATAATTTGTCCGTGGTCACACAGCTAATAAGTGGTGAAGCCAGGATCCGAACCCTGAAAGGCAGGTGGGGGAACCACCACAGAGCAGTTCCTTAAACAGAAAGATGGGAGGCTGTGGGTGTGAAGCCTGTGTGAATTCGCCTTCAGGCAGGGTCCACAGTCCTAGGACAGGCTGTGCTTCCCAGAGTATGTGGACAGCGAGTCTGGCCCAGAGAGACCTTGCCTGCTCTGCTCCAAAGCCTCACCTCCAAGAAGAAAACCTCTGGGGCTTCCAAAGAGCCTGGGAAGGCGCTGATCGACTTGGCAGGACAAAGGTGTCAGCAAAGGAGCAGGAGCAACGTGGAGGGAGAAGAAGTGAGACAGAGCGCGTGGGAGGTGGTCCACGGTGTGGCCCCAGGGCGAACTCTGGATTCAGAGCCCGGCTCTGCACCAGGCTGTACCCTCTCTGGGACAACATCTAGTATCTATCCCTGGGGCTGCTGAGAGGGTAAATGAGGATGGTGCTTGTGGAGGAAGGTGCTCAGCACACACAAGGATTCAGCAAGCACGTGTGGCATGAACGTGTGAGGGGGCAGTGGGGGCATGCGTGTGCTTGTGGATCTGTATGTAAGACGTTCCAGTCTGGGTGCGTGGGTGCGTGTGTCTCTGGGTGGTGCGTGTATGTGTGTGTGATTTTCTGAATGGTGAGTATATGTGTGTGTCCAGGGATGACTGCTCTGGTTTGGGGGTGTCTACAAGAACGCTTGCACGCCCCAGTGTGTGCTGTGTAAGACCTGAGTGTGTGCCTATGTGGTGCGTGTTCAGCGTGTGCTCTCAGGGTGCACGCACAACCACATGTGCGTCAGGGCACACCTTTCAGTGTGTGTCTGCTGAGTGTGTCTGCTCATGTGAGCAGACGTGTGTGCACATGGGCGTCATAATGGTGTGTGTGCATGCGCTCATGTGCCTACCTGGGCCCTGTGCACACATCATCGTGCCTGGAGGGCACCAGCGCAACAACCTCACCCACAAAATGGGATTGTCATCGAGCCAGCCTTGCGGGCAGGAGCTGGGGTAGCTAGATCAGTGGCGGGAGCAATTACGCCCCCTTCTGAGCCTCGACGCCCCCCTTGTCCCGCAGGGCAGAGCAGCCTTCCCCTTCAGCGCTGCAGTGCCGGAGGAGAGAGGGCGGGACAGCCGCCTGCCCGTGGCCAGCAGAGATCAGGCGGTCAGCGTCTGCCATCCCGGGGAGGAAACTGCTGGGCCGGGCCTGCCGGATGTGGCCCTTCCCATCAAAATCACAAGGACTGTTAGGACACTTCCTTCACGCCTCCTGAGCAGACGTGGGCACTGACAGCACAGCCGACACGGCCCCGGACTCGAGGCCGACCCCTGCTGGGAGGCCCGGCTCCCGGCCGTCAGACGCAGTGCCCGGCTCCCTCCCGAGGCCAGCCTGGTGCAGAGAAAGCACCAGCACTGGGGACTTGCCCGTGAAAGGCGGTCCCTTCCCAGGCCCCATCTCAAGCTGAGGCTCCGAGTGCGGTGCGGAGACAGAGCAGCCACGCTCGGGAGGGAGGCGGGGGACGTGTGATGGAGCAGAGGCCTGAAGGGCGTGGCCCTCTGGAGGGCGTCTCTCAGTGCCCGAGCAGGATGGAGGAGGCGGTGATGCCCTCCTGCACGCACACCAGCTGGGGCCCGCTCACCTGCAGCGTGTCCCCGAAGGAGAGCTTGTGGATGACGTGGGTCATGTCCGGGTTCTGCGGCTGGGCGGTGGCACTGTGTGTGGACACGTGGAAGTTGCCCGGGACCTGGGGAAGAGATGAGCGCTTAGGGGCTGGGTTGGCAGCCCCAGCGGGCAGGGCGCAGGCCCTCACCTGGGCTGCATCTGGATGTGCACCCCAGCTTGGCTGTTTCCCAGCCGTGGGACACGGCTCTCTCTCAGCCTCAGACTCCTCGTCTGCAGAAAGGGGGTGCTAACAGCACCCACTGGAGGGGGCGGCCGGGCTGTGGGGTGGAGGGGGCATGTGAAGGGCCCAGCTGGGTGCCTGGCGAAGGATCAATGACCAAATCAGAGACGCAGCCGCCCATCATCAACTCCCTGGCTGCTCCCCACTCGGGGGGCAGGCGTGCAGACTCAGGAAGCGTCCTCACACCCCAACCACCACCCCTAGCCCCTCTACCCCATCACTGCAGACTGGGGGCCCTTGCAGGCGAGACCGCAGGGCACCCCTTTCCCCTCTGGTGCTAAGACCCTTCAGAGTGCAGCCTGTGAGCAGTGCTGTGGGATGACTGTCTGCTCAGAGCGGCACCGGGGAGCCGACACAGAGCCTCCTGGGGCCTCCCTCCTGCCCGCTGCCCAGACCACAGCCTGCGGTGTCACCCCGGCCCTGTCTTCCTCTCACACAGATGCCCCGCCCATCAAAAATACTGCCAGCTCTGCCCCCGAGATGCCCAGCATCTGACCCCTCCTCCACTGCCTCCCTGGACTGGACACGCGGCAGTGTCCCCGCTGGGTTCCCGGCTGCCACCCTTCACCCCCCGGGCCTTCCCCAACGGTGGCCAGTGGGGACATTTGGATCTTGGGTTTGGTCCCCGCATGCCTCTGCTCAGGACCCTCCAAGGGGTCCATTCTCGAGGTGAAGCTACATCCTCGCGTCCTGCTCTGCCTCCTCCCTCTGGTCACAGCGGCCTCCCTGCTGCCCCGGGAACAGTGCCAGGATAGTATCATCTTGGCCTTTGTGCTGCACGCCCTTCTGGAACCCTCTTCCACATGGCTCTCCCTCTGGCCTCTGCTCCAGGACCCCCCCACCCATCCCCCAAGCCCCTGACGCTGCTAAAGCACTCAGCACCACATGCCACCTTGCCCTCAACTTGTTCTCATCTGTGTCCCCATGAGAATAGAAACTGCACTGGTAGGGTTTGTGCCTGACCTGATGCTGTATTCCCCAGACCCTGACCCAGAGCAGGTACTTAATAAATATGTACTGAATGAACAAATGACATTAATCCTTAAAACAGAACTTTTGGCTTTGACACCCGGTAACTCCTGAATATTCACTGGAAGGACTGATGCTGAAGCTGAAGCTCCAATACTTCGGCCACCTGATGCAAAGAGCCAACTCATTGGAAAAGACCCTGATCCAGGGAGAGACTGAGGGCAGGAGGAGAAGGGGACGACACAGGAAGAGATGGTTGGACCGCATCACCGACTCGATGGACATGAGTTTGAGCAAGCTCCAGGAGTTGGTGATGGACAGGGAAGCCTGGAGCGCTGCAGCCCATGGGGTCGCAAAGAGTCAGACACGACTGAGCAACTGAACAACAACTTGTTTTACAGAAAAGGAAACTGAGGCTTAGAGCAGTGAGGAAACTTGCTGTTGTCACATGTCAAAACTGGGGCGACTGACCTCAGCAGCCCTGGGCTGGTGCCATGTGGAGGCAGCCCTTCAGGACGTGCCAGGCTCAGGGCGATGACCCAGATGAGAGCCGGGCCTGGGATGAGCCCCTGGCCCGCTGTGACACAGACTCGGGACAGAAAATGTGACTGCCTGACCACCCTGGGCCGGAGGGAAGCAAGGACTCTGGGAGCGACGAGGGAAGGCCCCCAACTCATCTGGGGTGTTCTTAGGGACACAAAGACCCTGTGCGAAGGCTCTGAAGATGAGTCAGGAACAAGGGGGAAAGGCATTTGGGCAGAGGGACCGGCGTGAACAAGTATGGAGGTCAGAAACTGCTGGGTCGGTGGGCACGTGTGAAGAACAAGAAGAGTTCGGTATTAATGAACCCGCGGAGACCTGGGGGAGTGGCCGCAGTAGGAGACAGAGGCACAAGAGGGAGGTGGGGCCGCTTAACACTGAAAAACTCAGGGCTTATTTTATTCCAGCTCAACAAAAACTTAAAAAGTTGCACTGGAGGAAGGAATATGGCTTATGGCTTAGCATCCACCAGCCCACCAGTCCATCAAAGTCCACTTATTTTATAAGCATGCCTGTCTCCAGCATAAAGCTGTGGGCTTCCTGCAGCAACATCCCTGTCTTCACTGGGACTTGATCTTTGGACTGACAGGAGAGGTACCAGGCCAACAGAGCATGGCCAGGCCTCAATGAGTCACGGTCAAGTGTGCTCTGGGCTGCTCGGAGGAGGGGGCAACCTGCTGGGCCTGGCTCAGGGGGGACAGGAACAACAGCTCGGCAAGATTTCCCTGGCCGGACAGCGCTGCCCACTTCAGGGACCCAATGGTAGGGCAGCAGCTGAGGGCCACACACAGCTTCTGGTCTGGCCTCACTTCCTAGCTGGAGGGCCCTGGGCAAGATCAGTACCCACCACCCTGTGCCTCAGTTTCCCCATCAGGAAAATGGGAATAATAACCACAAAGGGTTGTGGGATGGTTAAATGAGACGAGGAATACAAAACTGACGGTAGGTGTTACTGGGTTGGCTTCATGGCATGAACACATTTGAGCCGAGAGAGAACAACCCTTCTAGAAGAGAGAAAAAAATGTATATGGGCACAGGGTGGAAATCCTACTGCATTCTAAAAGTGATTTAACCTTCATTTTTAGTTAAATAAATAATATCTAGATGTGAAAGTGAAAGTTGCTCAGTCCCATCCGACTCTCTGCGACTTTATGGACAGCAGCCTGCCACCCTTCTCTGTTCATGGAATTCTCCAGGTGAGAATACTGGGATTGGGTAGACATTTCCTTCTCCAGGGGAGCTCCCCAACCCAGGGATCGAACCTGGGTCTCCTGCATTGCAGGCAGATTCTTTACTGTCTGAGCCACCAGGAAATATGTTTTTCCCTACAAAAAATGTCACGTGATAAAATTAGGACTAAAGTCCCACTGCCTGCTGCCCCCAGAAGTAAGAACCTGATAGCATCCGGCATGCATCCTTCTGAGTTTTTCCAGGCACCGACAAGGGGCCCCCTGTGGGCAAGGCCGTGGGCACGGTTCGGAACTGGGCTTGGAGCCTGGGCCTCACGCGCCCAGCGTCAAGTGAGTCAGGGAGGCTGGCTCCGCACATCTGCCACCCGCGGCTGCCCTGCGAGGCTGTGACTCAGTGACCCACTCCCCCTCGGCACGGGGTCCATCACAGGTGGCTGACTCACACCAGCACACGCTGGGCTGAAGAAAGCAGAGACAGCGCTTTTAGAGCTGTGACTTAGGCACCGACGTCAGTGTCTCTGATGGGCGTTCAAAACATATAGATGGAGCCAGGCCCCCAAAACGCCAGCCCATCCTGTCCTCCTGGGGGGCTGGGTGATTAAGCAAGGAGTCCGCGTGGCTGGGGGCTGCTTGAAACATGCCAACTCTGGGATCTGGCTGACTTCCTGATGAATGGATAAGGGCCCTCGGGGCAAGTGTGAACCTGATGCTGGGAGATACGGGGGGTGGGGGGGCTGCGGACCTCACCGTCAGCACAGCTGCCTTTCTCATCACAGCACCCCTTGACTGAGCGCTCCAGGGAGGCACGAACCCTTAGCCCTCCACAGGAGGCTGGCCTGAGCTGTGGCCAAGATGCTGACTGGGAGCCACACGGAGCAGGGCTGCGGGAGACAGAGCCGGGAGCCTGCTGCCAGGTGGCTGGGCTTCAGATCCTGGCTCCCGGCCCTTTAGCAGGTCACGGAGTACCTGCGCCTGTTTCCTACGCACCACTGCAAGGACCAAGTAAGCTAACGGTGGGGAAGGGCCAGGTGAGAACCCAATAAGCGGCTGCCAAGAGGTGAGGGCTGGTGTGGCCCTGTTCCAGAATCCCAGCCCTCCTTGACCAGAGAAAACCCGCTTCTTGGACGTCATCCCTGCACACTTCATGAGCACACTCGCACCGGAGTGCCGGCAGGTACCAGCTGATGAGATCATGGATACCTCACTGACAGGAGGTAAGGCCAGTTGGGGAAGGGCACCAAGACTTGTCCTGTCCCCACTGCGACATGCACTTTACAGATTTTAATTTGTTCACGTCTCACGACTTGTGAGGGCAGTATCACTATCCCCACCTTACAGACGAGGAAACCGAGGCTCAGAGAGGCTAAAATTGCGAAGGCTTTTAACCAGGGAATGTCGTTGCTAGGATTCTCAACCACAGGTCTGTCTGACCCCAAAGAGCAAGTTCTCCTTCAGCCAGAGCCAGCAGGAGACCCATCAGAGCCTGCTGAGGGGAGCCGCCTGTAGCCTTGGGCACGGTTGCCAAGCTGGGGAGGGTGTGGCGCTGGGCTGTGTCCCAGGAGGTCCTCCTGTCTCTCCCGGGTGCTGAGTAAGTGTGCTGCCTCCTGCCCACCATCTGGGGTGTCCATATCTGTGTAACCCATGTGCTCACACCCCTCGCCAGGGAGCCCTCACAAGAGGGACGTGTGTGTGTGTGGTTCGTTCGTCTTCATCCATCTTTCTGCCCCACAGACAGGCCTTCTCTGACTCTATCTCAGTGGGCCTCCCCACCGTAACACTCATGTCATTCTCTCCCCAGCTGCTTCACGAAGTGACACGCTGGCTTGAGGGTTTGCCTGTCACCCCGTAACTGACCGGAAGTGCCTCCAAGAGCAGGGGTCTCAGTCACTTCTCCCGGCACTGCATCCCAGGGCCAGACGTGGGGCCAGGAACCCAGCAGGCTGCATGTGTGAATGAATGAGTGAGTGAGCAGGGTGCATGAATGAATGAGCTGGGGGAAGGGGAAGCAACGGCTCAAAGAAGTCAGAATGTGGAAAGGACTGGAGCAACGCAAGGGCCATGATGGTGGGGGAGGGGAGGGAGGGTGCCCGAGGGGCCTGTGTCAAGACCTGTGAGGCAGCGGCCGCTCTCCAGGCGGAGAGG